CCAATGGACAGTGGTTGGCAGCTTACCCTCCTGCAAGGCTGACTTGAATCTATGTTGAGGTGACTTTGGAAAGCCTTGCTGTTACTTAGAAACATCCCAGCTGCATTCAGTGGGTGTTTGACAGTGGGGAAAGCAGGAAGCACTCAAGCTGGTCTTGGATCAGTGATGTTTTCTGAAAGAGTGCCATGTTCTGGGTGTGGTATTGCCCAGGGGAATCCTTACAGTTGCAATTCTCAGCCCTGGTTTAGCTGCTCTTGATGCTGATATCTGTCAGCCATACAGAAATCCCCCTGCACTCTCAGCAGCAGTCCTGGCTCTGTTGGGAAGAGCATGTTTCTCCTCCATAAATCTTTGACTCTGTTGCAAATGTCCCCTCCCCAGCTCTATCCTCCTTTCCCACCTCTTTGCCTATGCATATACTCTGTCTACTTCTGCTCACAAGCATCTGACTCCTTTTGCCCACCTGTGAAAGAGGCAGGGACAAGGTTTTGGCAGATGTTTGCCAATGATGCCTGTGCCCTCTCCCAGTTCTTCAGTGACTAGCCGTCTTCGGAGGCATTGCCACAGGATTGCAGATGCTGACATCCACCACCTCCTCTATGTGGGGATGGATTTAGGGACTGGACAGCATGAGCATTGCTTCAGATAAACTTCTCTTCAGCAACTGGTCTAGTCCAATGCAGTATCTTAGTGGTGCTCCCAAGCAGCAGGCTAGCACTTAGATGGCAGACCTCAAGAGAGCTTATTGGTGGGGGTGGGCTCACTAGGTAGTGCTCTTTTTGTTAGCACCGAGTCTTCTCTGGTCGATCTTATACTATAAAGGATTCTTTCATTCCAATCCTTACTAATAGGAAACCTCAGTTTTCCTGGTAGCAACCACTGATCTTACCATAAGAAAGTTAGGCCTAGTAGGGATGTCTGTGAGTCTCTAAGGCTGAACTGTACCAGGCTGTGGGATTATCAAAAGGGAAGGGCTTCAAATGACCTTTGTTGTGGTCTGTTGTTTAGAATGCTGCAATAGGGGAAGGGGAATTGAGGGTGTGTGTTTTCGCAGTGGGGAATGCTACTGTTCTTCTGATGTGGAGTGACTCTCAAAGGGCAAGAGCTGGGGAGCAGCCTGTGTAGCCCCAACTTTAGTATCCTAAGTTGGTGACTGCAGCATCCTCTGCTGATACCTGGCTCAGTGCAGCCATGCTTACGTCATGCCGTACACGGGGAGAGAGGGAAGGCTTCTTGGTAAAGAGGTGGGGTGGATCAGCAGTCACTCTGCAAACCAATCCTTTCCTGACTTCCCAGCACCTCTGTGCTACTGGGATGTCTCTCATCCAAAGACAGACCCAGCCCAAGCCTGCTTAGCTGGCAGGCTCTGATGAATATGTTACCCATATCAGATGCAGAGAAGCACCTTTCCTGGGCTGGGTGGTATCATTTGGACAAACAGATACGCTCTCTTGCTGCAGATTCTGGTTTCATCAGCTATCCACCCATCTCAACGTCCCACACACCCTGGGTGACAACAGTGGACAAGGGCACAAGCAGTTCCAGCAGCAGCCACTGGGAGTACTCGGGCTCAAGACGTGAGAGGGAAAGGGAGCGTGAACGCGAGAGAGAGCGGGAGAGAGACCGTGACAGGACTCCGACCACAAGTGAATACAACAAGTAAGAGCTGTGCTCCATTGGACTCTTCCTGACAGCTTCCCAGCCAGGGGTGAGGCTCTGCCTACTGGGGGCAGGATGGGTGTTACCCTGCATGCCACACTGATCATTGCCACTTTAAATAATTTGGGACTCCCAACTTGGAACTCTGATCCTTGCTGGGAATAGGCAAAGGACAAGCCCAGGAGTTGGGTTCCTGGGTTCTTTCCCCTTCAACCCTTAACTTGCAACTTTAATCTTTTCAAGACACTCTGCCTCAGTTTCTTCACCTGTAACAGCATTCAAGTCCAATTAGGTACCTCCCTGGTAAGGGTCTGTGCAGGTTCTGGAGGTTTTGTGTCCATGCATCCATTGCAGTTCTGTATGCTTAAGATAACACAAGGGAAGAACTGCTGTATTTTCTTGAATTTAAGATGAGGTGACCCCTGTCCCTCCTGACTCTGTCGGCATTGGGGGTAGGGGAGCCTTGTCATAAATTCACACGTGAAACAGGAAGCAGGCAGGCAGGTGAGGGCCAGAGTTGGGCCCACAGCAGCCTCCTGCCCCTCACCCTGCTGGCCCTCTGTAGTTCACCCCCCTGCCCACATTACTGTCAGGCACAGCTTAGCTCTAGCTTAGGTTGAATTCCCTCCTGGGCACCGAGCACATAAAGACTGTGTTCCCTGCACAGTGAAGCCTCAGGCAATACAACAGTGTTGGCACTGCCTGGCCAGTCGACACCACCAACGCTGTTGTGTGGCCCACTAAGGGCTGAGCTTCCATGCACTGTGCCTTGGGAGGGGGGCAGAGCCCAAGCAGCATCTGGCAGTAAGGGAGGAAAGAGGCAAAGCCTGCAGGGGGGAGAGGCAGAGATGGGGAGGGGCAAAGGCTGTGGGGAGCTGGGGTTGTGGGGTGCCAGTGGCAGGGAGGACAGGAAGGCTGCAGGGGGCAAAAGTGGGGAAAGGACAGAGGCAAGGGGGCCACCTGCTTTTTTTTTTTTTTTTTTCTCCTCCCCCAGCCACTATCCTCCCTGCTATAGCAGTGGGAGGGTGAGGAATTTAAGACTGCCCTCTGATAATTGGATCCTGTACCTGGAAAGTTTTGTTTGTTTTGTTTTTATAACAAATGTATAAATTATCTGTATGTAGAATCTAACTATTGGGGGATCATCTTTAAACTGAGGGTCAATTTGTATTTAAGTAAATACAGTACCAAACATAACCCTTACTGCTTAGCAAAATGGGGCCCCACTGTAAAAGCACAGAGGCGAGGAGTGTCCTTCACCATGAATAAGCCACAGAGTAGAAACCCTTATCAATGCCTGGCATTTCTGAGCAGAGGACCAGAACCTAATGTGATTTAAAGGTGGTAGGAGCAGTGTGGTGGGTATGTACCAGCCTTCCTTCGTGTCTGTTAGGGAAAATGAAACTATCAGAGTTCTTTGCAGTCCACTGCTCTACGCTCTGCCTCAAGGGCTTTTGTCACGTGAGTATCACCAGCAGCATCACTATTCTACCAGGGTTGGGCTCCAAAATGCCAACAGCCATTGAAAACATCACCATAGAGTGTGCTTCTGCCAGAGGGGTGTTGCTTGCCTGGGAACTTCCAGGCCCCTGGGCTCAGCAAACACAGGGACATTTTTCTTACAACAGACCTTTTTAAAAAAGCTGCAAGTATCTTGGATGGGACAGGAGAAGTGGAAAATACAGATGTGCTACAGTATGAAAGATTCCCAGTTCCTGCCGTTCTTGGGAAGTTTTGGACTGCAGCAGGGCAAGCAGGACAGGGGCAGGAGTCGGATGATCTGCCCAGATGGCATTCCATGGCATGCTGGTATCAGTTTCATGTTCCTAAGTGTATGTGTTGGCCTCTAGGAGCTTGGCATTGAATTTGTCGAGTCCTCTGTAGAGCTACCTCCCAGGTGCTTAATCTACCTTCTGATTCTGCCTGATCACTGATATTTTTGGAAGATTGCTTGTCTAACTCATTTCCATAAGCCAGAGGTTCTCAAACTGTGGGTTGTGACCCGCTACCCCCACCCCAGGGAGTTGTGAGCAACTTAAAAGGGGGCTGCAAACCTCCCAGGGGGTACATGCAGTGGCGCAGGGAAATGGTGCGTGGCAACAGCACTGAGTGGTGGATGGTGGCGGCGGCTGCTATGTGCAAGCTCCCTGTCCTCCACCACCACCACCCAGCACTCGGGGTCGCGATTTCACAAAGTTTGAGAATCTCTGCCATAAGCCTTAAAGCAGCCTTTTGGGATTTGTCTCCCACCGTGAGATGTGGGAACTACTTTTTGGACTAGAGGTCAGTGGTTTTTATGGGGGAAAAACAATTGTAAGACAGGCAGGGAAGGAGGGAACACAGAACGTGTCTGAATTTTTTTTTGGATTCCCATGTGCTTTAATTTTATAAAGGGGTGAGTTTCCTTAGGTTGGAAGAAAGGCATAGAGGATCAGCTGCTTCTTACCCTGCTCGCTAATTAGTTTGCATGCAGGGCTGGATTATGACAAGGTGGGGTCCTAAACTAGGGGTTCCCAACCTTTCTATGCTGTGGCCTGGCACACTGGACCAGCACTGGCCATAGCCCAGCAAACTGTGTGGACCACTGTGCAGAGCCCTGTGGCCATAGTTTGTAGCTGGGACACAGGTAAAGATACCTCCACCCCCAAGGCAGTGGGGTGGGCCCAAGCCTCAATCACAGCTGCTGTGGGTCCTGCAGAAGGAGTCGCAACCTCTCTGCCTGCCTCTGCGGGGCCACAGCTTGCTGGTCCATTGTCACTTCCAGTCCAGCAGCCAATGCTTAGAGGCCCCTCATAATGTGAGGCCCTAAGCTGCAGCTTTCTTAGCTTGTGCCTAAATCCGGCAGTGCTTGCGTAGTTTGTGTTTCTTAAATACTGAGGTGGGGTGGGGTGCAAGGGAATAGTTCCTGCAGCAAAATGGAAGAAGCTTTATCATGGGTGTTACTTAAAACAAGGGTGAGCAGTAACACAGTAGAGGCAAGAGTCTAGAAATGCACTCCCTTCTGAACAGTGGTGGCACTGTGTATCACAAATATGTCCCAGAGACCACGAGGGCAAAGGCCTGTGGCCACTGTCTCCTGCCATATGTCCAGTGCTAATCATTCATCTTCCGTTGCATGGGTTTTTTTTCTAGAAAGCGTGATAAACCATTCTGTTTTGTGACACAGGGTTGAACACACGTCTGTGTTGGTATAGGAGGGGCTGTAGCTGGGCTCTGTGTGGCAGAGGAATTGGGATTGTAGCGGGGGGTGGAAGAGGGGTTGGGGCAAAGTGGGGGTGTGAATGGGGAGAGGATACAGTTTATTTCCTGGCTTATGGCATGAATGTTGTTTGGAGTGTGAGAGCTTATATCTGTGAATTCTGTCATTGCGTCTGAGTTCTGACCAGTGAAAAACCTGAAACTCATGGTCATGTGGTGGCTCTTCTTTTAACTAGGGGTCTGGTTTATGCCAGTGGGAAATGATTCTCAGTTTAGAAGCAATGTAACCCGTGGATATTTCCCCCAATAGGGAGGTGTTTTCTCTTGGGGGAGGGAAACAGCTTGTTGGCGGATATTTCCACCTAGAGACACTTATTAGCATGAGGCCCTTTGAGAATCTGGGGTTTTTATGTGGAGCCATTGATCCCAAACATGCTGTAGAAGAGGGCAGACATGAGCATCAGTGAAGGTCATATCCTCTGCCTCACTGTCCCTTCCTCTGCCCCAAAGTGATGACGAACGATATCGCTACTACAGTCGAGAGCGGAGCTATGACTTTGAGCGGGATTACCGTCGCAGCCGAGACCGCAGCCGGGAGCGGGAGGATCGCCATCGCGAGCGCCGGCACCGAGATAAGGAGGAGAGCAGCAAACACAAGTCTTCAAGACGGTAAGAGTCCTCCTTGGTGGAGCTGCTGGGAGCTGATGTTGGCCCAAGATGGGACGGCTAAGGCTTCAGAGCAGACAAACTCTATCTGTACTAGCACAGACAAGGACACTGTCCAGCGCATCATGCTCCATTAGTGATGCCTCTGGCCAGAAGTTGGATCTTTCTGTTACAGAGGAGAGCTGCTTTGTTTTTGTAGGTTCTTTGTAGGGGCAACTGATGGGATCTGAGCACTGTCCCAGGTCACACTGTTTGGCTCCCAGCGAGATCTGACCAATAGTGGATTTACCAGCAGAAGCCTCCAAGAAAACCTGTAATGCTTTAGCTGCCATAGGAAAGCATAGCTTTGTTCTGCTAGAAGTCTCAGCCTTGGCTCGGTTGTGCAGAAAATGAAGCTACCTGAGTTCCCAAATGGGGTGCAATGCAGTGACTACTGGGCCACTGCCCTAGTCACATGATCAGGGTCCGTTCTGAGCTCTGTCATTCTGGGCCTGAACAGACAAAGCTCTGACACTGATGTCATTGGTTTGAACATCAGTATAAATTCCACGAGGATTCATCGTGGACAGATGAGCCGCTAGTTGGGTTAGTTTTACACAGTAGGTGCTATTATAATGCCTCACAACTAGGTGGCAGGAAGTAGTGAATAATAGCCTACTTGCTTTCGAGCAAATGGCAACCCAAGGATAAGCTGCAGACAGGACACATGCGCCAGTAGAGTTTGTTTTGTTTTGTTTTACCCTTGATTTCTCCTAGGATAGTTCTGTGCCAGGTTTGAATAAGTATCAGTGCAAGTTATATGTTATACCACCTTTTTTACATGCTGGTATGACATCCTTTGTGATGTTGCCTGAGTTGCTTTGTGCTTCAGTTTAGCTACTAATACACTGTAGATGAGGATGCCTTAGCATTCATAGAAGTGGCTTCCTAGTTCTAGAAAAACAGTGGTATAATAGAAATACAGGACATCACCTGGTTGTCCAGGCTGTCTGGAATCCACTGAGACTAGGCCAGAAGCTATTAGAGGGAGATGCTGGGGAACTCGGCCACAAAGTGCTGGGCAAAGGAAGCCATGTGGAGATTTTTTCCTTTGGCCCTCTCTAATGGCAAACAAAAGAAATGCTCCTTTATCCTTCAGCCCAGAATACTTGGACAAGACGTGCCCATTAACCCCCATGGTAGAATGCATGGTGGCTTTTAAAAAGTGGCTTATATTATAATTATTACATTTCAGAGCCTAGTGCTTGAGGTCTCACCTTAGTGCCACTTGTGTTGGGAGGAGATATGTGCTGCAGTCCCCCAACTGGCTTTTGGTTGGGTTGCCTCAGTCCTAGAGAAAATCTGACTTGTTTCTTGAAAAAGCCCCTTGTTTAAGTTTCCCAAGTATTTAAGAGAAAGGGTAGTTAGATACTACAAGGTAGGAGGAGAGGATCCTAGTTCTGGCTGTGCTATTGATGGTCAGTTCCAGTATGGACAGTACCTTACATTTTGAGGTGTTTGGCAGGCTCGTGTCAGCGCCTAGGAAATGCTTTGAGATGCTCAGAGTGGTAGCATTTGGCCATTAACTTGCCAAAAATAATTGTTTGGCTTATGATTATACCATTAATGAAAAAGAAGGTTAGAAACAGATTTACAGCCTGTGGGTTTTCATCCAGGGCTTTAGCAGCTTGGCAAGATGAGCACCTGGGCTGCTAGCCTGGGATGTCAGTTGTAATAACACGTCTCACCTCATAAACAATGTTTAAATCTCATTTGCCTTCTCCCACAAGTACAACCCTACTGCACTGATGCTACCATTTTGACCCTCACCCAGTAAATCCAAAGAATTCAGTTTGGGCATGTCTGCACCCCCAGTCCTGGACCAGGGATGCCACAGTGAAGTGCCATGCCCACCTAGCCATGACTTTTTGTTTTCAGAAGCAGGGCATATCTCGGTAGTGCTGGGCAGATGCCAGCAAGCACATCCCCTCAGGAGCATGGCTTGCCTCCTGCCGTTAAGGCAGCTACATTACATCTATTTCAGGAGGTGGCGCATTCGGAGTGGGTGTCCCACACTTCCCTGTGGTGGTCCTTGTGCTGAGAGAGATGTTTCCATTGTGTTCTGTATTTCAAACCTGCCTATAGAGACACTTGAAGTAGGAAAGAACCACCCCAATCCTATTTCCTGCAGACTAAGAGGCAAAGCTCAGTCCTGGTGCAAAGCCAGGTTTACCTCCTTAGTAGGCTAAGGTAGAAATGGGACCTTTCATCTCTAGGAAGCCAATGCTTCTGGGCAGCTAGATTAGTTTTTCCTTTTCAGTCTGAGATAAAATATCATAGGTAGATTTTTCCATGGGGTCTTAAACCTTTAACGTTGCGGACTGACCACCTAAGCAGGAGTAGTGCACAATATGCATTCTCTCTGCTTCCAGTAATTACCGCCAGCTCCAGCAGGTGGAGGAAAGCCAGATTAGTCCTAATGGAAACTTCTATAAACCATTCCTTCTTCAGTCTCCTTCAGACACATGGTACTGGCCCATTATGTGATGGTGCAGTGTGGCATAATAGATGCACTGTTACCCATGTAGGGTGAGCTGCATAACCTATCCCCAGTTCTGACGCTCATGAGTAATTAGACCACCCCAAGCAAGGGATGGGAGAAGTTTTGGCACATGGTGAAAGGGGGGTGTACAATCTCTTTCCTATTTTATTCCAGATTTCACACATGCCACCCATACTGGTACCTCTGGAATTTATTTTAGTCTTTTTCTGTGGCGATCAAGTGTGCTGACACTTGTCCCTGGTTTCTTCACCCTCCCTTTTTTTCATTCCCACTACAGTAAGCAGCATGAGAGCGAAGAGGGTGAAAGTCACCGGCGCCACAAGCACAAAAAGAACAAGCGTAGCAAAGAGGAGAAGGAGACCAGTGAAGATGGTGCCCCAGAGGGGGACGAACAGGATGCCAAGGAGTAGAAGACCCACGGCCGGCCGTCGGGAGGGACTTGCTCCTCTGTCACCAGTGTGGTGTCTGCATTGTTTTTTTACTATATTCCGAGGGAAGCAGCGAGGACTCTCGCCAGCTATTGAAGCATGTCATGACAACTCGAGCCTTCGAGCACATGCAGTTAGACTTTTTTGATATGGGACAAAAGTACGGCAGTAATAGCATACGAAGCACTGAGCTACTCTACTTGTCAATGTTCTTTCATCGTATCAGATCCTATGGTTTCTGATGGAAGATGGCTTCAGCTGAAACTAACGCATTTATGTGATAGGCTTTTTTCTTTTCTTGCAACCATCGTTCCTTTTTTAAGACGTAGGACAGTAACTGCAACTTGAAACTTCTTGTCCAAAGAAAAGTGTGATTTTTAGGTCCTCTTGAGAGTCAGCTTAGAGTCTGGCTTCTATTAGTAAAGTCCCATCCCCCGAGTCAATTTCTTTATAGCTACTAAAGTATCTATAATTTCTTTGTGGCAGGATTGGCAGCATGCGGGGAGGAACTACTTCATTGGTTGGTTAGTTTGAACCTGCTTTTGTCTAATGGCTCTTAAAAGCTGTTAGGTGTGTTTACAAAGGGCATTCAAAGACTTCAAATCTAGCTTCTTTTTTTCTTTTTTCTTTTTTTTTAAGTCCATTGCAAGCCTAGTTCTACCATGTCACACCTGTAAATGGGAAGTCCCATTCTGTGGAAGACTGTAGTGAGAGCATGAGTTTCTTTTTGATTAGAATTGATTAACTTCACCTATTTTTTGGGGGGGGGTGGGGGAGAGGGGTAACAATTTAAGATGACTTACCTAGCACGTTAGGGAACATGAAGCCTCATCCAGCAGTTTGCCATTGTTGGATTGGCTTACATATATTCAGACATCACCAACACTCCTGTGCAATGTATCTTCCCCCTCCTCCCCGCACCATAGATTTCAGAATAAATGCAGTCAAATTCCACATTTGGTTTTGATTTAGTTTTTTGGGGGTCTTTTTAAATAGAAAAAAATTTCAGTGGAAAAGGGGTGGGACTCTGGGGTTTTTTTGGTACATCTTATTAAACAGAACACTGCACTTCTGTTTGTGTGAATTGCAGGCATTTCATTTTTAAGTACCTTCCATTTGTATTGACTGTTATTTAAGAGCGTCTACAATCCCTTCCTCAAAATAAGCTAGTTCTGAAATTTTACATTTTTTTTGTATCGTATTCATGCAAGTCTGAGTACTGTGCAAAGCTTACAACCTTTGAAACGTGAGCCAGTAGAGCATTGTGATATTGGTTTATATACTATGACCATGCATTTGATGGGTCAATAAGTACAAAACCTACAAGGAGGAGAATAAAGCAATTTTTTGGTAAATGTGACCTTTAAAACTTTCTTCAATATATTCTCATTGTCTTGAAGCAGCAGGGGCCTTGCATGCAATGAATTCTGAGACCACGATCCAAGGGGAAATGCTAAAACCACATTTCACTGTTTTGTTTTGTTGTTTCATCCTTTTTTAGTGCCCTATGCAGCCATTTCTTTAACAGACCAATTTGTTTGATATTTTTACCAGGAGCCAGACTATGGCAATAGTGACCAGCTGTTCTGACGATGTTTGCAAAGATTTGGCATCTGTTCAGTTAAGGTAATAGGGCCATAAATATTATTGTGGTTGGCTCCTCTGGCAAGGCAGGCCATGACATGGCTGAGAGGGAACATAGGGAAAGCTTTTTTCAGTAGCATTATTCCTGACTAAAATAAGCATTTAGTTTTCCAGCCATGTTCGTGAGCCCAAGAGGAATTTGCTTTTGGAATATGGAATTAAAAAAGTGGGGATGGAGGGCAAGTTTAGAAGGATCAAAGAAGGATTCACAATGTCTTGCATGCATTGAAGTTTGCATCGTCTGGGAATACCTGAAAACCAGCACTGGTTGCTAAGACATGCAGACCTGATTGTGTACACCCTTCAGTTCTCAAATCTCAGCCGGGGGGGGGGTTCCAAGTTGCTCGCTCCCTCAACAGCTTTGATATTTTACAGCTCTGTTTGATTTGTTTCTCATAATACTGTATCTGACAGATAGGAGATGCGAGTGCTACCCCATGGCTCAAGACCCCAGGCTGCATCCTTGCATTCACTAGTGGAAATAAGGCTGAAATCTTACCCTGGTTTCAGAATCTTCCTTTAGCTGTCATCACACCCTCCTGTCCCTGTGTTCAGACTGCAGTGACTCTTTGGGGATGAATGGGCTGCTATGATTTACAGGGGTCTGGCCCACTTTTTCCCCTCACCTTCCTGCAAGTGCAGGTCATGTCTGTATATGTGCTGAATTCCTTTTCCACACATCTACTTCATCATGGTTACTTAGTATATGGGGGAAGAGATATGAAATCTTGTTACAGCACCAGTCTTCACACTCCTGTATCTATTGATCTTTCCTGCCTGCTTCTAGCTGTTGCTATTAGTGAATCTGCAGTATCGATTGGCAAAGAGAGGCAGAACAAATAGATTAGCTTATATTTGTCTTATCTGTAATAACTTGGCAAAGGGGAAGGAAAATCTGGCTTATAGCTGGAGGATACTTTACTGGAGAAACGTTTTGCTACAAGTGAGCTGTTTGTTCAGAAGCAGTTTGCATCTGTTTTTACAAACATTGTCTAGAAGTTGTCAGAGCTTTGACCAGCTTTAGCTGGATGCAGTCCCAGTGCCAAGGACAATCCCATTGTGAAACTGGTATAAGGCAATTGTTGGGTCCATTGTATACAACTAGGGGTATAGCACATACAGGACTAAGTACATACGATAAGCAAAAGGATGAGTTTAACACTTGAAAGTGGATACTTATACACATGCTTATAGCTTCATAGATGGTTGAGTTGGAAGGGAACTTAGCAGATAATCGAGTCCAACCCCCTGCCCTGAGCAGGAAAGAGTGCTGGGGTCAGACAACCTCAGCCAGGTGCATGTCTAACCTCCTCTTAAAGCCCCCCCAAGTGAGGGGAAAGCACCACCTCCCTTGGAAGCCCATTCCAGATTCTGGCAACCCTTACCCTAAAGAGATTTTTCCTAATGTCTGACCTAAATCTGCTCTCTATCAGTTCGTGACTGTTGTTCCTAGTTACTCCAAGGGGTGCCCTGGTAAACAGCATCTCCTATTCCTTGCTCCCCCCCTCAATTTAATTTGTAAGCGGCCACAAAATCACCTCGGCCTTCTCTTGTGGAGGCTGAAGAGAGCCAGGGCCCTCAATCTCTCCTCATAGGGCTGTGCCTGCAGGTCCCTAACCATACAAGTGGCTCTCCTCTGGACCCTCTCAAGGTTGTCCATATCCCTCTTGAATTGCGATGCCCAAAACTTAATGCAGTACTCCAACCGTGGCCTGACCAGTGCTGCATAGATGGGAAGTATCACCTCCCTGAACCTGTGCATCATGCACCTGCTAACGCATGATAAAGTGCAGTTAGCTTTACTGATTGCTTTGTCTTATGAACATGAGTTGTCGCTCTTGGTGTCAACAATGAGATCCCTTTGTGCTGCTGAGAAGGACAGCCCCCAGCCTGTACACGTGCTGGTGATTCCCTCTCCCTAGGTGTAGCACCTTGTACTTGTCCTTGTTGAACTGCATCCTATTCTGTTCCTCTCACTTTTCCAACCTGTCCAGGTCCACTTAGATTCATTCCCTACCCTCTAGTGTGTTAACTTTGTCCAAATTTGCAGATGATACCAAATTATGGGGTAGAGTGCTTTCTACACCCTCATCAAAGTCACTGATGAAGACCTTGAACAGCACAGGTCCAAGGACTGAGCCTTGTGGGACTCCACTACCCATATCTTTCCAAGTCAATACCAACCCATCCACCACCACTCTCTGGGTGCGACTCCCTAAGCCAATTTGCCACCCACCCGACAGTGTAATCATCTGTATCACAGCCACTCAGTTTATCTGTGAGAATAATAGTAATAGTAAAATGCAGAAGTTTGATTCTGGGTATGCAGAGCGCTAGGAAAGGCTTACAGCAATGGTGCTCAACCTTTTTAGGCTAAATGAGTGGTGCCAGATCAATCCATGGGCTGGATCTGGTCCAGGGGTCCCATCTGGTATGCAGTGCTGGACCAGCTAGGGCTCAGTGCAGCTGTACATGAATATCTGGGCTGGGGCCTGATGTCATACAGCTGCATCAGACCCTGGCTCAAACCAGTTGCATGGGAACAGGGCCCAATTCCTCTGTATAGGGCCAGTCCAGTCAGGGCTGATCCAATCACCGTAATTTGGCAGCAGGGGAAAAATAACAGTGGTAATGGCTACAGCCAAACTTCCAAATCTGTGGAAGGATTGTGCGACTCTACAGGCCACAGGCTAGATTTTGTGATTCTGCAGGCCATATCTGGCCGATAGGCAAGAGGCTGATAGCTCCTGTGGGACGGGTCCCTTGTGACTCCCATTTCCCTGTTTACAACATGGAACCAACCTAAGGCTGGTGGAGCTGTCCTATATGAGATGCTTTGATATCCTTAGGAGGAGGATACCACAGCAGTGAATGGCTAAAGGTGCTGATTAGGGAGTGTTTCTAAGACAGCTGCATTGCACTAATCATTACAAAAGGCTGAAGTAAATAAAGCGGCAGGTTCAACCTGTCTTCAGCTAGTTCAACTCCTTACAGGAGAGAAACCAAGTTTTCCTCCTGCTGGTAGCATAGGACATTCCTGTCTGGGTCTGGCAATGGTGGAATATTTTGGACTGATGAACAGAACACACACAGGCCAGCTGTCTCTGCTAGTCATATTAAAATAATTTATGAAGGCATCCAAACAATTCAACACTTAAACAAGATTCAGTAAATCCTTGTGATGCAAACAATATGTAGTTGCTTAGATTTTTTGGTGATGCTAAAGGCACCTTGAAACGAGATGGAGCAATAGTAAAACCATGCTGCCTTTTTGCAGCATCCCCTTCATTTAAAAGTACAGCCAACTGCCCTCTGCATTGCTGCTTACAAGGCAAAAAAATGTTGTAACAACAGGAGATTATTTTCAGCAATAAATGCCCACCTTTTAAGTACCCAGCCAATAGATCTTTGGCCTATCTAGTGTTCCCTGCAGAACTTGCTTTAAGTAACTTTTGTATGGAAGAGACAAAAATTAAGTTCTGCGTTTCCTTCACTTCAGAGGGAGGCTGATTTGTTTTACCACAAACACCTGGCTGACTTCTGAATTATTTTAATCTTGCGATTGCTGAAAAATGTCAGGAATCAGTGTCTGAAGGTCCAGCTAGTCTAAGAGAACTCGTGCAGTCCAGAGGAATGGATGTCGGCTAAACCAGTGATTCTCAACCAGGATGCCAAGACACCTGGGGTGCTATGAGATCCTTTGAAAGGTGCTACAGGAAGTGTGAAGAGATAAGCAGACAATGGCAGGCTCTGGCTCTCTTTGCCTAGCCACTCCCCTGCCTCCAGTGGCCCGGCTCCTCTGCAAGGAGGTAAGTGCTATGATTTAGTTTTTGAAATGGGGTGCTGCTCAACTTACAAAAGTAATGGAGGGGAACCTTAAGTCGAAAGAGGCTGAGAACTGCTGAGTTAAACAATGTTTCATGAGCACTAGAACCTAAACTACTTGTTTTGAATAGGCCTTGATAAGAGTCCTTGCATACAGCTTTTAGCTAACAGCCATAAGACAGCAAAGTTGCATTGTGTGTACACAATCCACAGTTTAGCAAGGACCAGAACTCCGTTCTGCTGTAACAGCAAACTGAAAAGTCCGTCCCGCGCTGCTCTTGCCTTACAGAACGGACCCCTCTAGTCTGTTGCACTTAAAGAACTGGACAAGGAAATGGAGTTCTTCTGCTTTCTGCTATAGCCCAAGCCACTCCTGACAGCTAGAGAAATCGTAGCATATCTTGTTTTAAATTGAGCCTGAAGTAAGAGACCCCTCAGTCATTTCTACTAATGATTAAGCTTCCATAGAAAGTGAGAAATTCCTATATATCCTGAATGTTTCAGATAGTCTATTATTAATGTGTTATAGCCAGAATAAAGCCTTGGCTTCCTACCTTAGGTTTTATAATTCTGCTTTATGATGCATCAATCTGCCCAAACCAGCTCCTCTGTCATTTTGGAAGTAGGGGTTGAATAGGAAAGGCAGCTAATCATCTCCTTCAGTCTACTGGGAAACTAAGGTCAAGGAACAAGATTACCTCCTCAGGGCAGATGTTTCTTGGGAGCAAACCGGTCTATTTTACATAGGCAGCCCTGTGTCTACATGACCAACCCTGGTGGGTTCATTAGTCACTATCAAGGAGAGAGGAGTTGAAGGGATACGAATTCAAGAACTCCTGCAACTGACACTAGGATGGGGATTTTCACACAAGTCAACGCAGTATGTTAGGGTGGCTCAATAATTCAATTTACCTAGCACCAGAAAGGTTACATCTTACTGAACTTGTGCTAGAAATGTGAACACCATTAGCTATGAACCATTTCATTGGTCCATGTCCTTATTTTTATTAGCAACTTTTAAAAACAAAGACAATGACTTGAATAAAGTGTCCAAGAATGCCAGCGAGCCAGCAAATGTTAGCTTGCTAGATTACTTGATTTTTCGTATGGACACTGGTTTGACCAGGAATTAAAACAACACCTGAAAAAGGTTGACAACTCTAGCTCAAGACACAGATGGACAATTCCTCTTGGACCATGGGAGAAATAACTGTCCCTATAATCATGATGAGTTCTAATCAGTACAAGAAGCTAGTGAAGATATGGCTCCAAGCTGCTAGCATATTGTACCTAAAAAAAAAAAATCAGATGCATCCACAAGTTGCATTAACTTTCTGAACAGTATGGAAATGTTTTCTTCAAAGAGGAAGTGAAAGTCTAGTGCACACTGTGCCAGGAGCTCATGGTTTCCTTAGTAAGTGTCACATGATGGGCTGTCAGCTCAAGCAAACTAGCATCAGTGGGGCTCACAGATTTCGTGAATGCACATTTTTGGTTTGGTGTTTACACAAGACTTCCAGGCCAGGACACCACAGTAAGAATGACTTTGTTCCTTTGTTCTTTCAGCATGGGGATCAGCTCCGAATTGCTCATTCCTATGGCAGGTACTCCATTTACTGCCACAATTTCATCTCCACACCTAGGTAGAAAGAGAAGGCACTGCTGTCAGGATGCAACTTATATAGTTCATTATTTGTAGCTCTACAGCGCCTACAAGCCTTAAGTGAGACAAGGGTCTCTTTCTTAGTGTGAGGCACTGTAGACAGCGGTCGTCCCTTTCACACCAGAAAAAGGTTGAGGGAAGGAAATAACTTGCAAGCAGGATGAACAATGTGATTGGTCTACAAGTCTCATACTACTGCAACTACATCTTGTCTAAACATACAGGGGTAAAGGGGACATGGGAAAGAGAAGGGACATGCAAGGTACTGGAAGCAAGTGAGGATAGGCGTAGTTGAGAGTTCAAGCAAGCAGCCATTCAGCTGAGGGGAAGACAGACTGGAGAATTGACAGCGATGGATTCAGAGTCTGTCAAGTCCCTTCTGCAGCTGTTTCTCTAGCCATAGCAGAGGTGAAGTGCTAGTTTCAACACAACTTGGGTTTGAATGTGCCTCAGCTGCCAGGATGGGACACACCCAAACTGTTTAACAGAAGAGGAGTAACTGCCTTGGCAGCAGCACTGCTGAGAGGCAAGGTGAGTCAGCACCAGCATGCTGCAGGAAGAAAAGCAAATGCAGCCTGGCATTAACAGAAGTGGTGCAGGCAAAACATGGGAGGAGATTAGGACTCCCCTAGTCAGTGCTGGCTGGGTCTTGGCTCAAGTGTTCTGTCCCGTTTGAGACGCTACTTTAAGAAGTATGTAGAGAAACAGGAGAGGATTCAGAGGCAAGCAGTGGAAGTGAAAATGGGGTAGGAATGCAAGGCAGATAAGGAAGGATTGAGGGAGCTGGGTTGGGTGCACTTAGGTTGGAGAAAAGCAGAGTAAGGGGACCATTCTTTTTTTGGCAGCCTTTCAAATATTAGAGAACAGGAAGAAAAATAGTCCTGGCACAGGGGCACCAGTCTGGACAACAGCAAAGCAGATTCAGATTAAACCTCAGGGAAAAAAAAAGACTTCCTAACTGGAGAGTACTGGAACAAACTGCCTAGAGAGGTTGTAGATTCTTCCTTGTTAGGAGGTTGGGGTTCTTGGGGGCAGAGCGGGGGAGGTTTGAAGAGGCTGGATATCACTATATGCAGAAGCTGGATATGCATCTGCCTGGGATGGTTTGGAAATAATCACTTTGCCATCGCTTCCAGCCCTACGTTTCCATAGAGTGTGAAGGCCCTTATGGGCTATGGAGTAGGCGGAGTACAGAATAGCCTACAGCAAAAGCATCTTTCAGGAAAATGAATTCCTCCTAGCTTGCCTGAGAAGGAATGAGCTAAGGCACCAACATCAGTTCCTTGACAACTGTTTTGAATTCTTGGCTGGATGATCTTTTCATTGCACAAGGAAATTTATCTTCTAGGGAACAGAGCCAGGTCCCCATCCTTACACTATCCTTAGCAGGGATGCTGAAAGGGCAACACTGACCTTTGCATTACCGTAAGTGGAGTGGAAGATTCTGCAGAGAAACTTTACAGGAAAAGATGGTCATATGTCACTCTGCCCATTTCCCACTCAGTGCACTAACTTTGTTATCTAGACAAGCCAAAAGCTGCTATACTCCTCTTGCAAGTACTCTGGCACAGAGTCTCACCACTGGGAACCTTCTTGGGAGAGAAGGATGTTCAGGATGACCCTGCTCCATCCTGTTATTCCTCATTATAAGTTTTAACACCCCTCAGAGCATCTTTCCTCATTCTCTCCCATGTGGCAGCTACATCCTTGCAGAGATGAAGTGTCAAATCTACTCATGCCAAGGCACTGAAAAGTCTGATTTTTTTTTTTTTTTTTTTTATGCTGTACAGCACTAAGAGCTGGGAGTGAAAGGTACTTGGATAAGTCCCTATATTTTGTTCTGCCTCATTTTAATTAGATAAAAAGCAAGATACCTCCACAAAAAAAAAAAAAATCAAAATACTGTGCTGCAAAGCTCAATGCTTGTGAACTGGATACCAGTAATTAAAGAGAGAGCCATACATACTTCAGTCTCCTGTCTCGGAAAGCAGGAGTTCCAGGCACAATGGTTTTAATGAAGAACGGCTGGCTTCCTTTGCTTTCTTCAAAGCCTCCAACAATGCTGAATCCCCAGCTTTCTGAATTACTCTTACGCAGGATAATATCTTGACAGCAGTGGAGGTTACTGGAAAGAGAGGCATAGAGTGGCTTTCTCAGTTTCCACACATAATTGCAATAAATCTATCCAGATTACCTGTATGTGGGGGAATGGGGAATATACCATAGGTTGTAAGAAGGGAAGGAAGCCAAGTGTGGGGGGGTCAAGGTTGTCAATGGGTTGCCTTAAAGAATCATTCAGAAAAAAAAAAGAAAGAAAGAATTGTAAGCACAATTGCTGCAGCCCCTGCAGTTAACCTGGAATCGCATTTCTGCTTTTGTATTGTCACTACTTGGTACAATGGCTGCATTCAGGCACTAGGTCTCACTGATGAAAAGTAAATGTTAAATTAGGTAAGGCAAACCAGCCTTCAATCAAAACAACTGACTCCATCAGGGTTTGCTCATGAAAAACATCTCTTGTTGTACCCTGTGCTTTCTGGAATGTTATAATCCCATGACAAGAAGAGAAAGATTGTTTATAAGACAGTAGATCCAAAACAGCATAGGGGATCTCTCTCAATATCTAGAAGGTTTAAAAATCTTGAGTGTGTTACTGTATTGCAATGCTCAGCCTGCTAGTTGAAGAAGGTGGGGAGGGAGTGAAACATGCAATTGTCTATGTCACCTGCCTCTCCCGGTGCCCAGCATTAGTGCGGGCAGCTTGCTATTGGCTTGCCATGAGGCAGCACCTTCCCTTCCTCCTCCTCCCCTTCTTCCCACCACCAATGCCACCAGGCTGCTAAGCGTTCCCACCAGCCATGGCTTGATGCTGCAGGAGGAAACCAGTGGGGTGGTGTAGTGCGATGCTCCCAGGCCATGCAGCAGTGGAGACATCAGCACCTCCCCGAGTCAGGCAGAGCCAGTGCTAGGTCCTCCTGTGCCACCTTACACGGTTTTCCTTTCACTTGTGCTGGGCCACACTCTGCCCACCGCTTAGAAACACCACATGGGGGAGGGACTACTGCATCCTGGGATACTGTAACATATAACAAATGCTTTAAGCCACTTAAAAGTGTTTATGTGTAGCAAATCCATGGGTTAAGAACTTCAGGAGCCTAAAATTACTGTGTAACAAGGCTTAAAGTCAGCAGTGTTAGTCTAAAGTCAGGCAGGAAGCAGGGCAGTGTCATAGCACCTGACAAAGTACTGTCATCTACAAAAGCTTATGCATTTTTTAATGAGTTGGGCCCTACGGTTTCTCCGTGTCCTGGCTTCTGCTGCGCTTATAAAGTCAATATTCACACTAACATGTAACTACTGCAACCAGACCCAGCTCTAGTTTTCTGAGAAAAGTAGTCCAACTGGTTTTGGTGCCTCCACAGTTATGTTGTGTTGTTTTGGGTGAGCAAGATAACTTAGAACAGAAGAGCTGAAAATGAAGTACAACTGATAATAGACAGCAACACGCAGCTACACCATAGCCAAAGATAGCAAATGTGCTAGGCACAATTTAAGCCTGAGCTTCATGTGGAAGGCACAGTTCTTACGTGGTAGTGGGCTCTTTAATGTGCATTAGCTTATTTTAATGTATATTAAAGTCACTAAAAAATGCACACTTTAGATAATGCACATTAAAATAGGCTAATGTGCATCAAGCATCACTTAAACTATGCTCTTTAGTTAATGCACATTTTTCTAGTACTTCAGGGTGCCTGTAGACATGTTGGAAGGTTGCTCCAATGCACTGTAATAACAATTAATTGGGCATTTATACACATACCTTTTTGTCCCACAACATGCCAAAGATCTGTCACTTCTTCATGCGAGCTGACGCGCGCCTTGCTGCACCACGTGCAGTTGTATAAGTGATGAAAAAAGCACACAGAAAATGGTGCGGTGCGCTTTTCAACCAAAGCACCTCCAATGTATTTTAGTTCAAAAGCACACCGTTGCCATTTTCTCAGTGCTGACACACAATTTGCCACTTATACGACTGGAAGCATTGCAGCACCTGGCACTGCGGTGTTTATATGTATAAAAATGCCCATTGGGTCTGCTGGAGCGCAGTAATTAGCGCATCTTGTGCATCAGCATCCCCACACTTCAATATGGCAGTGGGGGTGCTTTAACAATAGCTTTTCGAATGAGCTTAGTTCAAGCACCCTTGCTGCCATTTTGAAGTACAGGAACATTAATACATGAGACTCTGTGGCACTTTAACTTGAGTGGCTCTCTGAGCCACTCTGATTAAAGCACTCTGCCCCCTACCCCTGAAGCATGTGTAAAACTGCCCTCACAATGGAGGTACTAGATTTAATGCACGTTAATTAAAGTGCATTAATGCACGTGTAGAGGTGCCCAGTGACTGCAAATTGTTACATCTACTAATCCTAGTATATACCAAAGGCCAGTCTGTTCTCTATAGCAAGCAGTTTTGCCTGTGCAATTTTTTGGGGATGCTGGGGAAAGCTTAGAACATTTTCCATAAAGGCTGCCAGGTAGATTTATGATTTTGACAGAAACTTTGTTACTTTTGAGTGTTCACATTTTCTTTGAAGAAAAGGGTGATGTGCTGTCCAGGGCAGGGGCAGGGGCAGGGATGGGGTTCTCTTAGCTCCTGAAGCTGAATGTTGAAACAGCTCAGATTTCATGGAGGTGGGTACTGTGTGACCACCCCAGGAGAAAAATGTAATACTGCAGCAAAAAAAAAGAAGAAGAAAAAAGGAGGACTTAGGTGGACAACAAAAATATCCACAGCTATATTAGGAGGATTGTGTGTGTGGGACATCCAGTGCCATACTCCAAATAGCCAATCACTATGTGCCTGAGATTAGGGGGAAAACACCATGTTATAGCATAACTATCCATTGGCTAAGGATCTTAAGAGCCTCAACAGGAACACTGATCTGATCTATGATTTATGCTAAATCCTGTGTTCTTAAAAATTCATATTCCATTTTAAAAACCAGAACTTGTTCTAACTGTGATGAGTAGTCTAGCCATGACATTTGGGCTATCCCCTGTTTTAACTTCTCTTCTTAGGCAGAAGGCGAGAGAGGCTAATATATCTCATCTGAAAGACACTTCAAGCGGTACCGTATCAGAACAGTGTGAACAGCCAAGTCCAGTGGTCGGTAGACAGTATGCTGCCAGGTGAGCCAGGCTGACAAATGTCAGATGACACAAGCAGGAGGCCACAAGTACAAGAGCTTAGTATACAAAGGCTGGAATTCAGCATCACGGACAGAAGTGTTGAAAAGGACAGAGAAAGCCCCTAGGGAGCCTTGAGCACAACCTCTTTGGATTCTGCTTTTTTGTCAAACAACTGCTCTCTCAGGGTAGCTGCGCGCGCGCGCACACACACACACACACATGGCCTACTTCCAACAAATGTGAGAGATTAAGTAGCACAGGAGCCATCTGTTGGATCATATATACCTGGGGGGGGAATAGCACGTGATACCAAACCACTGAAAAACATTGTAACTGTTGGTGAACATTGCAAGAGGGCTATGCTGAATAATGGGGATATCTCAGTCCAATGATTCCCCAACAGGGGAAAAAACTTATGCTGCACATACTAGTCAATGCGTTTAAGATTACAAACACCTGTGCTCAGTACAGGACAGCAATAAGCACAATAAGCCAATCAAAGAAGAACAGAAGCAATGGCTAGAGAGTGGAAGATATGACTGAGATGACTGTTTCACTGGGAAGGACTGGAAGTGATCATCTGGAACCCTGTGCACGAAGCAGAGACTCCAAAACTGCTCTCTAAGTATCTGAAGAGCTGTTATAAAGGAGAAACCTCTTCTCTCACTGCAGAGAGCAGGGCATTGAGCTGGGATAGGGTTGATGGAGGGGATACAGAAAGGGGAGTTCTGGCTGTCCACCAAGAGGGTGTGATGGCTGGAATTACGCTTACTGTCCCCAGGTGAAGAACAGAATGGAGGGCCTTCTACCTTCCCAGCACTTCTGGTTTTGCTGGTTGCTACATGGGACCAGGAAGGATCTCCCCCCTCCCCCCCGCCCCTTTCTGTTGCTGCATGTATCAGAGTTTGCGTGGGTTTTTTTCTTCTTTTTTCTTCACCTCCTTAAGATGCACTGGTGTTGACTGCAGTCAAGACTGGGAATTTTGACTGGGGTATGCCAATGCTGGGACTAAAATTCAGAGGCTCTTGGCTAGAGGGTCTTCCCCCTCCTCTCAGGGCATGACTGACTGCCATATTTGGGGTCAAGAATGAATTTTAGCCCATGCTCCATGGTCAGACTGACATGGGCTGTGAGGTGTGGGGGTGGCCCACTTGGATCTCTCAAGAACAGTTTAACAACTCTTGCAGCAGCAGGACACTGACCACCATTGTCCCCCTGTTTTACCTGTGGCAGGTTACAGTGCTATTCCTTGTAGTTGTGTGACAAGGGTGATGTGTGTGGTTTTAGTAATAGGTTAGACAGGTATTTGTATGGGATGATTTGAACAGAAAAACATTTAGCCTCCACAGTCTATACCAGAACCTGCCTCAGGCAGGGGCTTGAATTAGACCTCCAGAGGCCCCTTCTGGCCCTATTTTTCTACAATTTTAAAATGAGGATCTTTTTATAATCAACTTTCATGCTGCAGAAATTGGAGACTTAACTTTTGAATGCAACTCTTAGTCTCTTGTTACACGAGGATGTGAGTGAAACCACAAGCCCTAAGAAACATCCAGCAAGGGAATAATGTGGACAATGTTGGCTTAAGGCCCAAACTTGAAACTAAGGAAGATGACTGGAAAGCAAGAAACTCGACATCACGGAGACAGAACTCTGGAAAAAGCAAGAGCCTCCGTAGCTGGGAAATCTTCTGTAACTGTATCCTCCACCTTTATCCTCCCCTGTGCAAGACTGGGCATGCAAACGGTTGTTTCCCCGCAGTGCTGTGCCCAGTATAGCTCCTCTGGAGAAACTGTTAGGATTTGGGAGTCAAAGCCCAGCCTCCTGTATGAGCATGAGTTGATCTGGTGCAGCAGAGGCTACTTAGTCTCAGCACTTTAAAGAACTGGGTTGCTTTTAGGGAAAGGGTGAAAAGATGTTAGTAGGGCTTTGCTAAGCACAAGAACGAACACGCTGCCTTGAGTGAGCTGCTCTTGCTGGGCTTGTTAGCTTGGTGTTTACAGGTTGCTAAACTGGAGGAAGGGAAGGTAGTCAGAGGCTTTGTTTGGTTGGTTGCACCAGGATACAAGCCTATAAATCACCTGAAAACCCTGGCTAGAGGCTCTATTTCTTTTTTTTCAGCCTGTGCCTCCTGCAAGCTCCCTTTTCAGAAGCTTGGATTTTAGCCCTGCCACAGCCCACACTGCCCCTCTGGGTGAACTTATTCTAATTTGACCTTTGAACAAATCAAGTTAGTGGAGCACCACCTGCATCTCTCTGGAAAGGAGATGGAAGTTCAAACCTTAAAGGGTCCCCTCTCAAATCTGCCACCTGGATCTCAGCAGCATAGTTCCCACTGCCTTTGGCACCAGCACACGGCAAGTCTCTATCCCAGTGCTCTTTGGCAGGGAAACTAATTAATTATTAGCATCATTTGTCCTAATATTACAAATTATATAGCTGAGACTAACAAGAGACAGAAACCCAGAGGAAGGCTCGTCTCTGCACAAAATGACAAACTAGCAGTGTCAGAGCACTGATTTCCATCACGCAGCTCAGAGCAACCAGAGTGTTTTGGCTTTATGATGTTTCAGGGCGAATTGTTTGCAGTGTGCATGCTGCCATCAAAACATACAGCGCAACAATATAGCTCCTGTACAAAACATGTGCTTGCTTTTGTCCCCATCTCCTGCAGCAGATGCAGTTGGAGAAAGCATTCAGTGAACTCTGGCAATATTCCCGAGCGATGGGGGGCAGAAATACCAAAGGGCGGGGGAGTTTCTTAAGTTAATTTGTTTTACAAAGACCAAACAGACAAGTAAGGATTCCTCTTGCTTTCTGTTAAGAGGGCATGTTGGCAAGTTTGACTTTGTTCAAAGTTAACTGATGATTCACTTTACTGAAGTGTCAGCTTAGGCAAAATAGAGACAGACCAACCAAACATACCTAGGTAGTCCAAGCCACATGGTCCAAAGGGGAGACCAGCTGAATCCTTGTTCCCTTATCTCAGACGATGGGTCTGTGGGTTCTGGTACAAGGATCTCCAGGGCTTTCAGTACCAGTACGTGGGAAGCAGCATTGGATTTAAGTGCTGACACAGCTTCATAGTAGTTCATATGAGTCAAATCAATGCCATTTATACTCAAGAGCACATCTCCTGTTGATGACATGAACAGATTAGGGGGAGTTAGCCAAGTGAATTTACTAACCTTCCATGACGGTTAGTAAATGCACATCTGCCCCAGGTCCTCACGCGGGACCTGCTGCCGACTTGCACTTACACTCTAAATCTCATTCACTGAGTGAAGGTAAAAAGAGCAGGGGATGGAGGCTGTGGAAAGCTACCTTACCTCTCTTGATCCTGCCATCCCTGAAGAGGCATCCAATGGGCTGCACACTTGTCACATAAACAGGCAGCTTGTTCTTATTATCCCTTCCACCTCCAATAGTTATTCCCAAAGATTCCTTTGGTTCCTTTTTTATGGAAACAGTCTTTTCCTGGCTAGCATATCCCTGAGGTAGCTCCTACAAAGTGAGGAAAACGTATACACGGTTTCATCAATGCACAGACCCTACAAACACCCCAACTTTGGAGCAGGATTAGAACAGCCTATAAATGCAATGCTGGAGAAAGCCCCAACATGACTGGACAGCAAAGCTCTCTGCACAGAACAGACAAAGGCTATCAGAGTTGCCAAGATGATTCAGCCATAAGTCTGAGGAACTGTCTCCACATCCATTCAACCCTTTATTCCTACTAGAAGCTCACTACTGGAAGAACATGGAGACTCAAAGTGGAAAGAAACTAACATCTGTCACAAAATCTATCGAACATATAAAGTGCTACCAGCTTTTGATCAGGTCTTTAATTGGGATGGATTTCAACTAGTGACACACAGAGTGAAGTTGAACTCCCAGATATCATTACCAATCCTAAACACTTATTGCTTGTGCATCTCATGTGAACTTTAGTATTTATTCAGTCAGAGCTCAGATCTGCGAGCCTTCTGTTTTGCCAGACTCAATATACCATAAGGCATGGAAAGAAAGGTGGAGGCTTATTTTTTATATTTGGCATTGCTGCATGGGATAGAAGGACAGTTTCTACTAACTTAACTGTTTTAAATGAAAACCAAAGGAAGGGATTTTTCAAAACAGCTTAGCATTGCCCTAAATCTACTTTCCTTCAACTGTGAAGTCAGCTGCAAAACTCCCACTGACTCCGATTAGGCCATTGGCAGGTTATTTTGAAAATCCCTCCTCCAACACTTGCTAAAAAGCACAGCGCTTGCTTTATGGATCTTAGAGTAAGCAAGGGTTTAGACTGAGAGCATGCATGTGTGCATTGGGGAAATGGAAGGAAGATACTAGAATACAATTTATACAGCAAAGAACTACTAGACTTAAATTACTTCTGGTAGCCACCAATTCATATCCTGTGAACTCAGAATCTTAACACAACAGGCCGGGCAGTAAGTGTTTCAGGAAAAACATCTTTATACAAATGGTAGTTTTAAATAATGAACAAACTGTCAGAGGCAGCAACAAAACAACCAACCTGTTGAAGCTCTGAGTTTTCTAGAATAGGGAACAGGAAGGTGAAAAACTAGGGCTGTCAAACAATTAAAAAAATTGACTGCGATTAAAAAAAAAAAAAAAGTAGTCACAATTCATCGCAATTTTAATCGCACAGCTAAAAACTCAAAATTAAAAGTAGAAAAACTCAAAATTATGCAGGTACTTTGTATGTTTGGGAGTCAGTGTGGGGGGTGGGTGGATGGGGTTTAGAGCCTGGAATGGGGGGGTTGCCCACAGGGGGGTCTGGAGCCTGGGGAAGAGAGACCCCCACACATCCTTGCAGGATGCCCAATCTGAGCGGGGTCTCCATGGAGCTGCCCCAAGCCCAGAGCTTGTCCTCAACCCCAGTGGTGGTAGCTCACCCCACCATAACCCCAGCAGTGGTGGCTACAGACCAGGCTGTGGGCAGCTGCTCCAGCCCTGCCCTGGCCTGAGCCTGAACTTCTCTCCTTACTTGCTCAGCAGGTGCCAGGTGGTCCCAGCCCGCCCTGGTGCCGAGGATGCCAGGCAGCCCCACGGCAGCCCAGCGCCACCTTCCCTGAACCCCCAGTGTTGCCAGCCTGACTGCTCAGCGCCCTGGATGAGGGTTGTGGGTAGGTGCCTGGGTGTAACCCCCTCCCCACCTTCCTGCTGCAGCTGCCCAGAGCCCACATCCAGGCTGCCTTATGGCTCTTACTGCCACCACTGCTCCATGGGGCAGCCCAGAGGCAGCAGTGACAGCAGCAGGGCAGGGCAGCCCAGGTGCAGGCTCCAAAACCACATGCATGATTAACGTGTTAATCGGTTCTTGTGTTAATTGTGCACATTAATGGAGAATAATTGACAGCCCTATAAAAAGCAAATTACGTTGGTGGAGTAAAGCTGCAAAAGCATCATGCTTCAGCTTTGGTCGTTGAGCTTTCACTGCAGGCCACAAGGCTACCTAATCCCAAATGGTGGTGGTTGTTTCTCCATTTCACAGTATAGTACAAGGGGAGAGCAGTCCTACAGACAAGGAAGTGCACCGAGTGATAAATTACTGGCTTTGGTGCTGTTAAATATCCAGAGGTCCCTTCCAAAAACTGAGTTGACCTTGCAGTCTAGGCCAACAATTTTTCTTCCCTCAAAATAGGCTTCCATCTCAATGTCCACTGAGGGTTACTGCAGTACTCGCTAGGTACTGGATCTTCCATGCACTTGTACACAACTCGCTGCACTGCCAGTCACCAGCACCTACTGTTTGCAACACTTGAAGGAGGAAAAGTGCCCTGGAACCAAACTCTGCTCCTCATACAGCTGTAGTAAGCTTCATATTTTCAGTGTGCTCAGGGAAAATGAATAGACCTGAGAAACAAACCATTGGACCTACAGAAAACACTGATTATGACAGAACTTGCCTTCTGGTAGTTAGGTTTGCGGCGGTAGTAAGTTTGCTCAGGCCTCCTTCGATGGTGCACTGGGCTCTCTCCATTGCTGCTGCTGCTGCTGCTGGGTGTGCTGCCGTCATCAACAGTATCTACCAGCTGTGTGCCAGATTGCCGGAGGACCACAAAGTTCACTCTCGTCTCACTGGCCTGCCAGAAAAGCAAAAGGGATAAGTTTGAAACTGTTGCAGTGTCCCTGGAGAATCAAGTCTCTCTATGGGTGTGGCAGGGCACTGCTGGTGCCTGCCACTGTAAGGACTCAGCCAGCCAGCTGGCAGGTGCTTGACTGCAGCAGCTATTGTAGATCTCTGGCCACCTATATAAACAGAGCAGTTCAGTGCTGGCAGGCCAGGCAGAGACACTGCCTGGCTGCAGGGCTGCTTGGCACATCCTTGGAGGTAAGAGCAGGAGCTGTAGAGGATGGCTAGGAGGCTCCTGGTCCTGGGCATGACCTAAAACTGCACTCTGCCATGTGGCCTGGTGGGGCTCTCAGTGGTGCGGGAGCCCCCAGGAAATGCCAGGCCAGTTACCACCTTGGTAAAAGGTGTGTCGGGGTGCCTTAATAACCCCAGCTCCCACAACTGGGTTAATTACCTGCTAGTAGGGTCTGGAAGGTGGACCCTGGAGAGAGAGTGGGACTATAGACTTGGAACCTGTCTTGACATCCCCCACCTGTCAATGCTGGGGCCAGGACCAGAAGGGTTGAAGGGCCAGGGGCCCACCACAAGAGACACCCAGAGCTGAGAGCCTGGGGCTCCTACTGGCCTGGAGGTGAGGCCCGGACCTGTGTAGCCAAAGGTCTTGGGGGGACCACACCTGTAAGGGGGAACAGCTCAGGGAGTTAGGCAGCCCGAATGAAGGCGGAGTGGGCTGCCTGAGTGGAGGGATCCAGGTGGGGTCCAGACTGGAGGATTCTGCGGCCCAGAGTGGGGCCGGAGAGATTAACAACTAGTGGATGCCATCTGCAAGGCTTGGGCTGCGGTGTAGGGGAGGAATGGAGCTGCAGATGGCGCCCCCTGGCATCAGGGCAAGACACAGGCAGCCTCCCACCTAATTAACATCTTAATTTAATTATCATCAAGGTGGGCGGTTGGCCCAGAAACAGGTGGGCAGGTCAAAGGCAAATCGGCCCCAAGAAGACCCCCCTGTTACAGTGGGCCATGGAGGGTAGAAGCTGGTAACTTTTACTGACTGCTGCGACTGAGAGCTGGTAACTTTTACTGACTGCTGCGACTGAGAGCTTGTGCTACTGAAACGTATGTGTAACAAGTGCACACCCTCTTCCAGGCCCAGGCAAACCCACAACAGAAGGTGACTGAAAGTCAGGTGTCAGTGATGGGGATGACTCTCCTGACCAGATTTGACTTTCTACACACTTTCCAGGCTCCAGTATCACATATAAGTTCAAGATACTCAAGTGATACAAGTATCACTTATAAATTCAGCCTCCAATCTCAAGAGGGACTGACACTTTACCCTTTAAGCCAGTGATTCTCAAGCAGGGGCCTTGAGATCCTTTCAAGGGTACCACACAATGTTAGCACTGTGAGGTGTACATGATTCACAAGATAAACCCAGAGATTTCAACTAGGAATCCATAGTGTTAAAAACATTCTGTCCTGTTGTGGTCTTACTGGGTTCTTTACAACAGAAAAAGTGCTCTATTATTTCTCCATATTCCAAAAACAAACAAGTGAAAACCAAGGAGCTAGCAATACCCAAGTCTAATGAGGGGTACCTCAACAATTAAGAGGTTGAGAGCCACAGGTGTTCTTTGTGGTTTTTCTTCGAACACCCACCTATCTGCTGCAACAGCTGAGACTAGGTAAAAGAATTCCAGTTACTGCTCTTGTTTAATGTGTGGGCCTACTTAGTAGTTCTGGTGCCAGAGCATATTCTGGATGTCGCTGTAACAAGCAAATCTTAGGACCTCCTGTAAGGACTAACAGTTTGGAATTTCTACTTGAATAAGAGAGTCCTGACATCCCAGAGAAATCTTGAACAACCATACTTCCAGAGTTGCTTCAGAAGGCATTAGTTACATTCTAGAAACGGTCGTCTTCACAAGCTGCAATATTTCATGGGGATTCTCACGCCTCCATCCTCAAGAAGCCAAGTTATCTATACATGCAGCATGGGTGTACATAGCATCTTAAAGAAAGAATCCTTTCCCCAAGGAATGTGCCATATGAAGTGCAGCAAGTCTTAACTGAAAATCAAATTAGATCCCAGAAAAGCTGAGCCACCTAAAAAATTCGATAGGATATCCCTTTAAGGTCAATCCTGACTTGGATCCAGTTAGCCCACTGAAGTCATTTAGGGACTCTTCTCACTGCTTTTAGTGGGAGCTAGATAAAGTCCCATACCTGAGATTTAAATCTGCACTGAGGAGTCACAATTTAAACTCTTGTCAGGAGTTCAACCAACATACTGGATTTGTGATCTATATGTAGTGGTCTTAGAACCAGTGCTTTGACACTTGCTGACTTTAACAGTACGATCTCAGGCCTTGCAGTTAGTCCTTCATCTCAGTACATCTTTTTTGCCCCCTTCTGAAATATAGTTTGCTCGGGGAATTTTACAACCAGCTTCACAAATATAAACATCAGTTCGTATTGCTTCTGTTCTGTGCCGGCAGCCTCGGAGACCTCTCTGCAGATCATTCTCTCCATCAAGTATCAAGCTGCGACAGAGGCTTCATTTCACAACCCTGGCCCTTCTCTGTCACATGCATATGCACTGTGTCTAGACAGTCTATCTGCAGAAAGGCGACGTGTAACCCTTTACAAAGAGACCAGGTCACCATGGGTGCACTAAACCACCATAGAAAACTGACTCATCACAACTCCGTCAGAGCTGACTCAGGGTAGGTTCCCACCCTGCGTTTTTATCAGCGTTAGAACATGGTAATCCCTACATCTGCAGGGAAGCCACTCTCCCAAAAATAGTTACTCAGGAGTATCCAGGTTGCTCAAGCACTTTTCATTAGCCCCTGGGTCAGAAACAAAGTGCTGTACTGGTGGTGCAGATAGGCAGTTACGAGACCAACCACTCCTCCACGCTGTAAATTACCTGGATTATCTGTGCAGCAGTCTCGGGTGTTCCTTGCCTCAGGTCCTGGCCGTTTATAGAAAGGACTCTGTCGTTCCGACTCAGCTTCCCGTTTTTGGCTGCCAAGCCTCCATCCAGCAAATCTAGAATAAAAATCCCTGGCTCATCTGTCTTCCTAATCAGTTTGATTCCCAGGGGCTCTGATCGGTCTCTCTTCATCAGGGTAACATGAATCACTTCCCGGTTTACAGCAGGGCTGGAGTCCTGCTGGACAGTCCTGGGGGAAAACCCCTTCTCCTGTAGGATCACCAAGTGGAGAACAGAACCTGGATGGCGCAGCAAAGAGACTGCTTGGCAGTGAGTCACGTTGCTGATGTTGACACCGTTCACCTACGGGAGAGAACCCATTGTTTGGAATCTATACACAACCCGAGAGACAGACAGTCCTACGTGGCCAGCAGCATACAGAGTGCACGTAACCCTCCATGGTAGAAGAGCCATCCTGTGCACTATGCACTCTGGTGCGCAATCAGCTACTCCTGATGCAAGTGCAGAGGACAGAATTCTCTAATGGGGAATGCAGAAGATCAGCAGCAGGTGGGGCAAGATACAGCAGCTGCAACAGGACAGCCCCCACAGAGGACAGAAATCAGAGAAGAGAAAACATCACAGCCAACTCCAAGCCACTGCATAAATGGTCTCTACCTTGTACCTTCTGGTGCTTGGGCCACTACTGCAGTAAATGCCTTAAGGTACAGAACATCCATCCTCACCCCATTTCCCTTGAGAGACTACTCCACAGTCTGGAAAATGGACAGGATCTTCAGGATCTTCTTAAGATTGTTTGGGGTAATTATTCTTCCTTCCAGTGGTGCTGTGTTGTAGGGTTCTAGTCTGTTGCCACTTAGCGTGAATGTGGGGTTCAAGGAGACATGGGTGGCATCCTGGTCGGCACTCCAAGACCCAGCGCAAGCTGGGCTGAAGGAGTACGAGATGTTGAATAATTTAATCACTGTCCAGGTAAGACTAGGAGGTACATGACCCTCGGTCAGACAAGATGGAAGTTACGTTGGTCGGCTGGGGTGGGGAAGCGACTTGACTACGTCTGCCACTCCCAGTGCACTCAGCCAGTCATTGCTCAATTTGTAATCCAACACACACTGATTATATTTCCACTGGTTGTCAGGGAATCAACTAGTAGCAACAGCAAAGTTGGCTGGGAACAAGGTAATAGCAGTTTCATTTGCATTCGGGCTTTAGTAGCATACTACTTGCCTGCTACCTCAATTAGACTACTTCAATGCACCCTGTGTAGAGCTTTTTATTTATTTAGAAGCTGATATAGAATGTGGCAACTTATTTGTTCAGCAGGTTATAGCGCCACGTGCCTTGTGCCCTATGCTCTATTCTGGCTGCCTACTAGATTCAAGTTGTGTTTAATTTATTTACGCTGATAATATGACTTGTGGCATATTTAATTTATGCTGGGTTTCACCTACAAGGCTTTAAATACCTTATGATGAATCTGCTTGAGAGAATGCAGCTGCAGCAATATTGCATGGAGAAAGACAACAAGGTGAGGCCTTCTAGCTGGACTGCCCTCTGTTTGAGGGAGCTGGAGTTGTTGGAAGAGGATTCTCACTGGACAGGAGTCTTCATAATTCACTTCCCCACCCAGATCTAAAACACCCTACAACTATCTAATGCACACAGCCAAAAATATCTAGAATAATATTTTAAACTACTTTAAGTTTGATGAATCAGAAATATTTCTCCAACAATGGGGAGTAAAGTGAGTTTTGGACAGAAGTAGGGGTTTTTAAGTCAATGGGATGAACTTAAAAGGACTGCTCTTCTGAATTGTACCCCTTTTGAACCACACTAAGTAAATCCTCATTCCTACATCTGCACCCTTAAATGTCTGGCCAAGGTCAAAAATAAGAACAAAGACAAAACTTAAACCGATCCAACCTCTCAAGGGGTAGAAATGTGCTCAGGTTCTACTTCATAAATGTCACTTGGTGCACCTTGGTTCCCTGGTTCCAGGAACCTCAAAAGCAATTGAACACTGGCAGGGAACCTGTTCTTGTGGAATTTGTGACCTGACAAAGCAAGAAGGGTCACCAAGTAATGAGACAGCTTTTTCTTGCAAGACTGCAGCCCAGCAAAGAAGAGCCAAGTTACATGGAGCAACTTTGGATTTCACAACCACATCTTCTCAGCTTTGCCAAGTGCTGTGTGTAAGCTTCTCTTAGGTCAGGGGTGTCAAACATAAGGCCTGGGGCCAAGATACATCATCCAGCTCCCAGTGCTGGCCCTGGGTCTCAAGTGGACCCACATGCCACAAGTGCATGCTGGACTGGCCCTGGGCACAGGGCCTGGGAGATGCAACTTGGGTCCCAGAGTCGGTGCATGTGGCAAACCTGCTCCCAACCTCTCCACCCCCACCTCCCCAATGCTGGATCCAATGCCCTCTCTGGCTGGTCCAGAATGCGAGCCATACGTCATGCCCACTCCAGCGGGTCCAGGGTAGGCACCGTATGTACCACAGGTCCTAGACGGGATGCTGCATCTGGCACAGTCCAGCTAGATCAGATGCTGGATCCAGCATGCTGGGCATGGGGGTCTGAGGGTTCCCCACATGCCAGATCCAGGACCGGATCTAGCAGGTCTGGGACTGTGCCACATGTGACGCCTGCCCTGGACCGGCTGGAGCAGTCGCTACGTGTGGTTTACATTCCAGACTGGTCAGAGCGAGCACTCCTGGCGCAGTCTCACACCAGCTGGAACAGGTGCCGTGGCACTGGATTGGGCAGGCTGGGGAGCAGGAATCCTACTATCAACAGACAAGCCTACCTCGAGAATGTGGTCTCCAGGTGCTATTCGTCCATCCGTAGCAACAACAGAATCCCGAAGGATTTCCTGAACCACAATGTTCCCCAGAGGGGTATCTTTACCCCCAACTATCCTCATTCCAAGTTCTTCCTCTGGATCTTCTCGTTGAATTTCAATGGTGCTGGTTTCGGCCACAAGGCTAGCTCTCTGAGGCAGGTCTGGTTGTGAAAATTGGAGGAAAGAAAGCAACGTGAATGTACATAATACTTCTGAGTCTATTCATATAATTTCACATAATTCAGGATTTTCAATGCTGTTAGGACTTGCTTTGCTTACGTGCTCAAAGATGGTTGTGGGGGAGCAGACAGGGGAGTAGGCAGAGGGCATTTAGAAGAAAGAATAGTTAATAAGCTAGCTTCCTAGATGTTCCCCTACCACTTGCCAACTTGTGCTCACTTAACTACAAAGACAATTGCCACAAAGTGCAGCAAGACTGGAAACATAGCTTTTGCAAACAGATATGTAAATTGCCATTTTGAGATGTTTCTTCTTCACGTCAGCTGGGTTACTAAAAGTCTAATTGATTAGGCCTAGCAGCCAGAAGGTCCTAAATTCCATGTTCAGGCCATTAGAGAAAGGGACTTGGTCTCAGTCTCAGGGGAAAGGAAGCAGTCTGGGAGCTCGGCACTCCTGAGTTTATAATCAGAGATCTGACAGTGCATTGGCATATGATTTTAGGCATGTAATTTAATCTCCCTGCTTCAACTTGCCTTTCCTTTCTCTCTAAAATGGGAGTAACATGTACTGCTTCATAGGAGTACCGAGGATTAATTAATGCTTCCACAGAATTCTGATGATGAAAATTGTTAGGTCTCCCTGCATTTTGGCAAATTATGTTGAAGCTGTCATCACAGCAGTGTGCGTGCATGAGCCAGACGCTTTGTATGTAGCAATGAAAGCAATCTTAATGGCAGCCAAGTACAGCTGTAGTTCTCTCACACAATGGTGTGAACAGGGAGCCTTGGGTGTACTTGGGGAAACTCCAACGCAGAGCCAAGCTAACCTACATGTTACCTAGGTTTGTCAGCAGACAGATTCCCGCTTCCCCTCTTTGCCCAGCCCAATCTTGTCTAGGCAAACAGAAGTTTAAGAAAAGGATTTTGCAATGTGCTGTCAAGCATTCTAGAGGTTTAGTCAAGCAGTGCTGTTTTTAAGCTGAGATAGCTACCAGCAGCACAACAAGCCTTCTCCTCCAATGATTAATCCAAGCACTAGTATAGGCCATAAACTTCTTTCTGTTTGTTATAAGTAGAGAAGAAATATTAATTCATAAGTGTGTAATAAATAGACAATTGCCTCTCCAAAGGGGCAAACATGATATCAAGATGAGATTGGAGCCAATTCCTTGTACTAATTGTTTGGCCTGTTTAAATGCTTAGTGGCCATTAGGGAGAGGCATGCACTTTGTGTCCTTGCAGTACAGCAAGGGGGTGATTTTTGAGCTCCTAACCTGTCATTTTAATTGGTGCAGTGTATGTGGCTTATGCATGGATAACTGTGGGCTAGTGGGGCTGAATTTCCCTAGTGTCAAAATGTGATAACCTGAAAAATTGATGGGAGCATTGTCTAAGTTGCTCCAGCATCCTGCAGCACTCCACTCCCCACACCTGCTCTCCAGCACACTCAGCTGTCTCTGAGTCCCTGTCTCAGCTGATCATGCCAAAGAGTGCATGCGTACGCATGTGTATACACAATGGAGTGCAGAACTATAGGATGCTAAAGGACCAGCAAGCCCTTATTGTATTTCCTGGCTGGAGACTGAAGGTGTCTGAAAATGGGACAAAAATCATTCATTTGAAGAAACAAATGGGATGCGTGCAACAGGTGCTTTTAAAACAGGACTGTCCTGGTGACAGTAGGACGTATGCCACCCTACCTTGGGCCTGCAAAATGATTTTGCTGTACACACACATCTCTCTACTGGAGAAACAGAGAGGGGATAAGGAACATTACTGCTGTTAGTGCCAGTGGCCCAAGATGTGGAGCTGAAAGACCAAGCATGTGTGCATATAGGAACTGTCAGTACCAGCCAGCATAGTGACAAGCTCATTGGAAGAAAAACATCTGAAACGGAATCGGATTTAATACCAAGCAAAGCCATGCAAGTGAGACATTATAAATATTTGCAGAGAAAGTCCCACCTTCTTCACCCTCCTCAAATGCTGGATTAACCAATCCAGGCTCTGCTGTCCCTAGAGATACAACAGCTGCCATAGAGCTTTCTGCCACCAATGATGACCCTCCATTTGAAAGCTCTGGCTCTTTGGCAGCACTTGTGTCCACACTGATAACAGGCTCTTCCTTCCCTTTGGAGTGGGGATTCTTTCTTCTTTCTAGTTCAGATCTGTATTTCTTGAAGCCAAGACACCTAGAGAGGAATTGGAGATCAGCCATTCAACACAAGCTATGACAATCCCTGTTTACACTATAAACCTATCACACAAGTATGTGTGTGTAAGGGGGGGTGATGGTGTTTCCAGACAGAGGCTGGAAGTTGTGTCAGCCACTCCATTTCCAACAGAGATTCTTTCACGTTGGGGCCTCAGATTGATACTGAAAAGACAGAGGTGTGGAAAATTGGAGAACAGATTTCCTCATCAAATTGTAGGAAGGGGCGTTCTTCTTTTCAAATATTTACCATCCGAGCCCTACAGCTCCCAGTGAAGGCGAGAATACATTTTCTAAGGATAAGCAAGTACTTCCATTGGCTCCAAAAGAGCAGAAGGATTAAGTGCATGAACTACACCTTTGAGCAACAGTAGTCATGATTCTACCATTCAAGGCTTCACTGGGAACTACGGTTCCTACGAAACCCAAAACACACAAGAGGATTGAGTTTGCAGAGACTGATGTGTGGCATGATGATGCATCAGGGGGCTGGGGGGGATACAGATGATACTGCCTGACACCCCACCTCCTCTCTGGGGTAGAGCTGTGATGCGAGGGGAGTGGCAGCAGAAGCTACGGCAGCAAGGTTGAGCTGTGGCCCAGCTCCCAAGCAGCTGGTGGTGGGAGAAGGCGAGAGCAGTGTGCCCCACCTCACCCCCCCATGTTCATCAGTGAACTCCTTGCACTGCTGGTGGCATGGCTGGCATAGGGGGTTCCAGCGGTAGTGGCAGTAATGAGTCTCACCCCCCTGCTCTGCCCTCCCACACCGAGTGCCGCCTGCAGGGCCACGGAGGTGGCTTCTGCCTGTGCCAATCCAGCCAACCTGCAGCCCCATGCCCTCTGTGGGTGCACAAATCTGGGGGGGCAACATGCCTTCCTATGCCCCACCCTACTCACCACACACACCCTACCCCACACAGTGGCTTTGGGGTGAGGGGCATTGGCAGGGTCAGGGGGCTGTTATCTAAACTATTTACTGGCTCGGGACTGGCCATCGATGTTTACAAATGGGTCCTGGTACAATAAAAGTTGAGAACCACTGACCTACAGAACCTTTTAAAATCCTTTATTCACAGAGAGGCCAAAGATTGCTTGAGCAAGGCAATTTTCCTTAAGTGCCTGAAAGCAGAGCCTCCAAATAAGCGAAGCATACTAAGCCTGCAGCCTGAAAAAGCTTGCTCCGGTTCTGCTGTCCTCATGTTATAGCAAACAGGACATCTCTTGCCCTTCTGCTCCTTTTATGAGCACGGAGCTCAATACAAAACAGAAGGCAAACCCAGCCTGCAGCCACACAATAGCCAAGCCATCAGAACAGTACAGAAGCAGCAAGTGCTGGAGAACAAACTGCTTTTACCACCCTTAATAAGAAACAGGGCTGCACAGGTGAATTCAGAAGCATTGGATTCTGTTTACTGCTCATCTGATCAAAAGCCACTAGGAAGGCTGGCTGGCAAAAGCCTCAGTAGTAGCTTTTCCATTCTGACCTGTTAAACTGGCCTGTGCTGCCCAGCCCAGCTGTGCTGCCCTTTGCAATGATGCAATAAATGAGTCTTCAGACGTATATTTATGCTCCACCACATATTTCTTCCTCACTCTGACCTTTGAGTTTCAGCTCCTTCCTCTTGTTTGTTAAAGACCAAACCACAATGAAACTCGAGTCTAACCGTGAGCTAGGAGTGCATTTAAAGACAGCCTTGCAGGGAACAGCTAACCACTGCAGAAGGTGTTGGTGGCTTAGCAGAAGACTCTGCCCCTTGAGTCAGTAATATCGTTATGTCAGTGCCCAACATAATGATATCCTCCCAAATAACCAAGTATCCTGTATCATTCAGGGCATGGTCACTGTAGAGGTGTTTACTGAAGTATCCTGCTCTAATTCCACTTTGCATATTGCATTCTGGCTTCTTCAGTTGCTTTGGAGTTTCAGCTCTGCTCATATTTCTTTCTGATTGCTCTAGTCCCCTGTGCAAGGTGACTCCTTCCTGAAGTAAAAGCCAATCAAGTTGCTCATTTGCATGCACTTTATATAAACCCAGTTTCCACCACACGTTTTCTAATGAACTGGATGTGCAGGAATAGCCCTTTTGGCCATTTTATTATGACTAATATCTAGGCATCTGATCTACTACACTCCTAATACTTCTGAAGCCACACTGCAGAGACTTGCATTCACATCCTTTCTCCTCCACTCGGGTTCAGACAAATCTCCATAGCTGGGGTCAGGGAAGAATTTTACCCCATGGTCAGATTGTGGGGGGTTTGCCTTCTTCTGCAGCAAGGGGTATGGCATTCTTCCTGGGATCTCTCAACAACCTTTTCAGAAAAAGGACATTGCCTGCCTTGCCATGGTCTCCCTGTTCTACCTGTGGCAGGTTAGGGTATTATGGCTTGTGTTGTGTCAGGGTTGACTAGTTTTGCTAAGGGGTTAGACAATGGATTTGTATAGGATGATGTGGATAGGAATGATCATGCCTCATGCAGGGGGTTGGACAAGATAACCTATGGAGGTCCCTTTCAGCC